TTTTACAAAGCTTCAATTCCACTTAATTCCCCATCATCTTCTTCTGCAACTTCTTCCTCCCTCTCCTCTTCCTCACTACTGCTACAACTGTTGGTATCATTGTCGTCTCATTTCTGTAACGACTTATATTTCTCAAATATGAGTCTTGCTGCACGAATATCATCCTTTTCGATGAGAACTTTTCTATTACTTTCCGATTTCCTCCACATGAAGCCTAAATCTCTAATTATTTTCCAAAGAGCCCACTTCCCACCACTGAAGTTAATCTTTTTTTCTTAATTACTGCCAACAACAATTTTAAAGTAGGACACTCGCTTTGTGTAGTGTGAAATTCGTTAATCGTTCTTCGAATTACATACTTGTCAAAATCATGTACATCAGTTTTAATGTGATTCAACATCTGGGTTTGGTAAATTTGTTTAAGATGAACGTTTCTTTCCAATTTCGTCTGTAGTGAGAAGAATCTCTTCTCCGCCTCCTGTCGGTTGTTGGGTACAGTGACATTTTCTTTCCTGGGAAACGAAACCACTCTTCTCTGATCCTCGAGACAGAATGAGGCAGCAAACTCTTGAAGTAAAGCCGAATCCTTGGTTTTCCATGATGCCTATGGTTTCCAAGTCCCAGAAGCGTCGTAAGATATCTTCAGAGGGCGATGATGTGTTTAGTTTCACGTAGTTGACCGTTAGAGTGTTTACTGTGATGCCTGATCTGTTTCCTCAAAGTACCCAACCCAATTTAGAGGGAATTAGCACGACGGATGACGTGAGACGGATTGGCGAAGCGTCCTTGACAATTTTCCAATAGTTATCTCCGCCGATAAGAATCTCGATGGGAAGGTCTTCCGAGTCATTCTTTGGGTCAGCTAACTGAAGTTTACGCGTGTGACTCAGCATCCTCACATCGTGTGGTACAGTCGGGTGTGGAGCAAGGAGTGGAAGCTCTCGAATGCAGTAAGAGAAATGGTGGAAGATCCCTTTCATATCAAACCGGACGCGTCTGCGTTGACTTGAAGTGGCAGATGACGTCTCAAAGGTCGCAGGTCAAAGGTCAAAGGACACATAGGTCGCGACACTCCATCACGTCTAGTTTCAAGTCGTCTATAACGGACCTTGCGATAAAACTGGACTAGCTCCCACTGTCTAACACGCAGCGAGAAAGTTTGCTTAGTCGTGTGTGTCCAGTAACCCATACTCGCGCATTTTGTAAGTAAGTAAAGTCTGGGGAGATAACATCTATCTTGCCGACTGAAGTAGAGGCGAGCTGATTTACCGGGGAAACAGTACTCGCCGTCTCAATACAAATGGCTCTATGGTGGTTCCTCTTGCATCTTGAACATGAGGCCTTGCCCTTCTAACGCCATGTCCTCGATTCAGGCATAGGAAACAGCGGTTAGCTGCCTTAAGTCTCTCAATACGATCATAACCATCGCTCACCGTCTGACAGTCTTGGGCCCAATGAGTACGGGATTCGCAGAAGACACAAAATGGTTTGATTTCTCCTTTACCCTTTCGTGTGGATTTGATGTGCTTGGAATTAATGTGAGGCGTCGCTGCAGTGGGTGTGAAGTTGGAAGTGCATCGATAGTCTCCGCGAATCTTCTGCGCAGTAAGAATTCCATCCACCTTCTCTCCCAGAAATGCCATCAGTTTTATAACATCTCCTTCCGAAAGTTCCTGCCTTTTGACATGGACAATCCATCTTTGACACATATCTGGAGGGAAGGCACGAAGTATCTTTGGAGTTAGAACCCTACCGTACCCGCCGACATCCTCGCCCAGAGCACGGAGCGCTTGAATACGACGGTTACATTCCAAGAATGTATAGTTCAGTGCTTCGGGCGTTGCAGAGTGAATAGGTCTAGATAGCTCTAGATAGTCCAGATGTGCTTGTATAATGCGGTTGCGGTCACCGTAGCGAGTGTGAAGGATTTTCTTTGTCTCCTCATATGTACTGGCAGTTATGGCGATCCCGTCCACTAGCATCTTCGGTTCGTCTTCCAGGTACCCTCGTAAGAACACGTGTTTGTTTATGGTAGAGAGGGACGGATCTTTATCAATGGATGATTCCAATTGTTCCCAAAAGCGGGACCAGGTCTCGACGTCCCCGACGAACGGCTCAAGCTTAATGGGAAGGAGTTTCACAGAGTGAGTGACTGCTGGATATGTGTGGGTTTGTGGCGGCTGAGAGACGCTTAACTGGGATGTTGAGGCTGCAAGCTTGCTATCCGTGTAGCCTTCTGAATGGCACGTTTTCTCTTGTCAACATATTCTTCACAATTCTCCACATCAGCTTCATATTGATCGTCGGACAGAAGATCGTGAATGGCGTCGTCCAAGACAGTGAGTTTATCCAAGGTGTCTTGGAGACGACCCCGGAAGTGTTCGAAGTCGTCTGTGGAATTGTCCTCAGTAAGTCCATTAATGATAGTGGAAAATCGGGTAGCGTTGGCTCTCTCTCTGGTACGTCTTCTCTTGAAGTTATGTAGGGTCGTAGCTGAATCTGATGTACTGGACATTCTTTAGGATGTTCCTTTTAAATTTAAAATTCGAGGTAGTGCAAGTATCGTCGGTCCTCCTGGTATCACACGGCACGTGTAAATACCATACGTGTTGTTAGTGAACTGTATTACCAATTACTGCTTCCCTAGCGTTGCGTGAGGAATGTTTTCTTGTGAACAGCTAAAGTTGCCGCTGCGACGTGAAGCTACCAACGTGATGTTTCCTTATCCTTCACCTCTCGTCTTCTTCTACCGTCACAGCGATTTCCAGTCTTTCTTCCCGGGTTTCGGCACCAAATGTTGCGCACACACTGATATTCTGAAACGTTTCTACCAGCACAAAGTTATCTAGTCCACGACGCACTTCTTCTACAAGCGATTCACAGCTTAGCTCTTTTCGCAATAACGAAAGCGGATTGTTGACGCCATTAATGATGCAACAATGTCAATAAACACACACAACAATGCCACACACAATACGTCTAAACAGCTCGAGAAGGGAAGATACTCAATTCCCAACACCATTGTACAGGAGGCTGGGTGGGCTCCAGAGCCGGTCTGGACGCAGAGGCTAGAGAAAAAATTCTCTGCCCACGTCGGGGATCGAACCCCGATTCACAGACAATACCAACCTCAAAATCAAAACATGCAGCGACTTCGTAATTGGTTCCGACGAAGTAAAAGGTACTTGGTGTTATGTTGTTCAAGTAACTCTACTCGTCACCGACAGATACCGCGAGCATTACGTCTAATTTCGAAACAAACAGCGTGTCACTCAACAATGGAATTCATGTTTGTTTCTCCAACATAACTGTTGTCAGTCAACAACTTCGTTTTCATAGCAACACTCTATCTACAAAATGGAGCGAGGCAAGAACAACATTCACAATAGAAATGGATTTATAAAACGATTCAACATTTATGAATTTTTATCCAGGATGCGGAAATTTCTGTGTAAATGGTGCAGACGATCCTTCATCACTGGGGTAAGTAACAATGGACAAACAGTTTTCGGCGGTACTAGCAAATTTAGAATTCCCAATTTATGTAAGCTGCCTGCCACAAAAGAAAGATGGGACTTTGCATACGTAAACATCATATCCGTGAAGCAATTATTTACAGGGACATACTATTACATGTAGAATTTATTGGCATGTTTATATTCAAACTTATCCTCACGACAAACTCACATCGAACAGACTTTACGCAGACACTATTTGTTCTTTCAAAATTTTCTTCTTCTGTGGCTATCCGGTCCGTATTCGGTCCATGGCCTCCTCAATTCTCCTCTTCCATTCAGTCCTATCCTCCGCTGCCTTCTTCCAATTTCTAAACCTCAGGAGCAGTGTGGCATCCGTTTGAACTGCATCCTCCCATCTGTTCCTGCGTCTTCCAACCGGTCTTCTTCCTCCAACACTTCCTTTGAATACCATCTTTGGAATTCGGATGTCCTCCATCCGAATCAGGTGACCTGCCCATTGTAGTCTCTTGAAATTTTATAAATTGTGACAATGGTATGTCTTTACATAATTTATAGATTTCATGATTAGTCTTTATCCTCCATTCACCTGCTTCTTGTGTTGGGCCGAAAATTTTCCTCAGGATTTTCCGTTCAAACAGATCCACTTTATCTGCTACATTCTGGTTGAGTGCCCATGTTTCACTCCGGTATGATATTATGCTACGGATGAGAGTTTTATATAATGTGATTTTCACTTTCTTGTTTATTCTATGGAATTTTACCAGTGGTAATATCGAGAAATATGCTTCATTGGCCGCTTGAATTCTGCTTTGTATTTCTACCATTTGCTCATTTTTATTTGTTATGCATACTCCCAGGTATGTGAATCTTTGCACCACTTCTATTTCATGTTCCTTGATCTTTATAAGATGGTCTAATGATCTTCTCCTTCTTGTTTGTATCTAGGTTTTTGTTTTCTTTCCCTTTCTCGCCTAGCACTTCAACTACTTCTTTGACTGATCTTAATGATCTTCCCAAAATATTTATGTCATCCGCATACCATTCTATTTGTACCATTTTATATTCCAAAGTGAGTTTGGTGTCTACTGCTAGTTTTCTAATTACATGCTCAAGGGCAAGATTAAAGAGAAGTGGTGCTAAACCGTCTCCTTGCTTGAGGCCTTGATTTATTGCAAGGCTGTCTCCCAGTTGATTTTGTATCTTCACATGTGCTTTGGTGTCTTCCATCGTCATATTTGTAAGTCTTATTAGTTTCCCAGGTATCTTGAATTAGTGCATTATAAGGTTGATTCTAGTTCCATCTATGGAATCATATGCTTGTTGGAAGTCTATAAATATTTGTGTTATCTCTATATTATCTTCCCAGCATTTTTCTTGTATTTGCTGAACAGTATATATTTGATCAATGGTAGACCTGCCTCTCCTAAATCCGGCCTGATATTCTCCGATATTCTCTTCGGCATATGGCTGTTGCCTATATTTCAGTATGTTTGTAAACATTTTGTATGCCACACATAACAGCGATATCCCTCTGTAGTTTTCACATTTCTATTTATCTCCTTTCTTGTATATAGGACATATTATGCTCTTCTCCCAGTCTTCTGGCATTTGTTCTAAATTCCACTGTTATTAACATACCTCCTCCATTTTTCCAGATTTCAGCTGGTATAAAATCTATACCTGGCGCTTTATTATTTTTTAATTTGTGAATGGTTTCCTTAACTTCTGTTAATGTGGGTGCATGCTGTTCTTCTGTATCTTCTATATCTTGATAGATTATTAATCCTTCACCTGTATCTGTTTCAGTTCCTCCCGTTTCCGAACTATTGAGTAGTTGTTCAAAATATTCTGTCCATCTGGATAGGAATTTTTTTCCATTTCCTAACAGCTCTCCTTTCCTGCCTTTGCAGATATTAGTTCTTGGTTTAAACACTTCTTTTATATTCTTCATTTCTTTGTAGGTCATATATGTGTTACCTATTCTAAATTCCTCATTAATATGACTTATTTTCTCTGTCATGTGTTTCCTTTTCTTCCTGCAACAAGTGTTTTGAGCTTTCGTATTCAGTTCTTCTAATTCTTGTTTCTTTTTCCTGGTTCGGCGTTCTAAATATGCTTGATAAGCTTTATCTCTTTCTTGAATGTCTTCTCGGCTTTCTTCATCAAACCATTCTTTCTTTTTATTAAATTGTACTGTGCCGAGTGTGACCTTTGCTGTTTCTTCAACACTCACTTTAGGTCTTCCCCATGTCATTTGATATATCTTGTGGTTGATGCAATCCCACGCTTTCCAGTTTTCCTTCTAAATTGGTTAAGAAGGTTTTCCTGATCTTCTTATCTTCTAGCTTACTAATATTTACTTTTTGCACTGTCTCTGTACCATTATTTGGAAGTCTCATTGTCCTTCCCCTGAAGACTGTTTTAACTAAACAGTGGTCAGTCCCACAACTTGCTCCTCTATATGTTCGGACATTTAATACACTTGTACCTCATCTCTAGTCTATTAACACATGATCGATTTGGTTGTTGGTTATTCCATCTGGTGATCTCCATGCATATTTATGTATTTGTTTCGTAGGGAAGAAAGTAGAGCTGATTATCATGTCTTTTACTAATGGCTGAATCAATGAGTCTTGGGCTATTATCATTGGACGTGACATGTAGACTTTGTTTTCCTATTGTCCCTTGGTATATTTCTTCCTTACCAATCTGTGCATTTATATTGCCCACTATCATTTTGGCATAATTAGATGGTGTGCTAACTATTATCTGCTCCAGTTTATTATAAAACTTTTCTTTTATTGCTTCATCCTTATCCTCTGGAAGTGCGTACGTATTTATGATAGACAGATTGCACAACTTGGTTCCAATCCTTATTTTGCATAGTCTTTCGTCTATGGGTTGGAATTCCATCACATTTCCTTTAAATCTTTTGTCCACTATGAAGCCTACCCTTGCCTCTCTATTTCCTTTCTTCTTACCACTGCTCTAGATAGTGTGCGTTTTGTGTCCCATATTTCCTCATTTGTCCATTCTTTCAAAATCTACAAAATAATATTCCGAACGTTGCGTATTTTTAGAAATTTTACCATTTCAGAACCCCCTTTCTAGCGTTTAGGATGAAGGCAGCTGACATAATATTCACACCATGTTTCTTGCAAACCGTTTGTAAGGGACACGAAGAGTACTTAATGATTTTGCAGCCTTCAGTTTTACTTAGCAAAGTAAAACATGTTAAAAACTGTTTTTAATGATGTGCAGCTTGATGTTGGGATTTGTTAAACTAGAAGGGACTTAAATTTTGATACTTCCACTCATTTCGGTTTATATGAATGTCCAAGATGTTAAAAGGTTCAGATTTTTATAACACGTTCGAATTTAATGGTTGATATTCTCTTTACGTCTGCAACAGCTTGCTCCTTAACCAGACTGTCCACCGACCAGGAAATAACAATATTGGAGGAATATGATTAACGATGATCTATATAAATTGGGCTGCTTAGCAAATATTGTTAGACTACAAAAATGGATGGAAAGTGTAGCAAATTTGGAAGACCTTGTTGTTCACAAAGGATTCAGAACCTACTAAAATTACAGCTTAACTGGACTGAGTGTGCGAATGTGCACTAGTTTCGCCTGGTATATAATGGACACCAGTAGCGGGATATTTTAGATAGAACATAGCGTGGATTTAGTTTAGGTTCATATTTATAGTGTTGCCTAAATTATGGTCCATCATAAATTGGAAAAAAATAATAAAACCCTCATAGAACGTTCGGGCAAAAAACAATCTAACAATCGATATGTATTTATTTTAACTTCTTTCTAAAAAGAATGTGTATACATCACAGCGATCCTATTTTCTCACGTTCTTTATACGCTCTGTGTCAGGCTTAAATATCTCTTTTTCGTGGTTTCGAATCTATGACATGTATTCTGGCCATAAAGTCTCTCATAAATTGTATACAACATCAATTGTGCAGTTTAAGTAAGAAACTTCCGAAATCAGTTGCATTAACGTTGTAGCAGTGCAGTGAGCTGTCCATCATCAAAGAGCTCGAGAGAAAAGTGAACGAAGCAGCATTCCCAGATTAAGCAAATGTTCAAAGAATGTGCTGAAACACGCATTTTCTAACCTGAAACAACAACAGAAATGACATTAAACCCTGCCCAGTAACAACTTAGCTCTCCGGTAGAATTCATAAGACTAAATTAAAAACGCGTGTAAGAACACATTAGTGAGGAGAATATTTGAAGTGCGTGGGGTTGGGGAGCTGAGAGAGTTGTATTATGAGGAGCTGTATCATTTTTACTCTTCGTCAGATAATATTAGAATTATGAATCAAGCAGAATAAGATGGATGGAAAATGTAGCACACATGAGGGAGTTTGGAAATTCTTAGGACAGTCGAGATTATTTGTGAGACGTGGTATATATGAGAGGGTAAGATTAACATAGATCTGACAAGACACGTGGATTTGCCGGGATTTATCTGACAGAAGACAGCAGTGCTGAACGTTTGTTAATGAACGTGCGGATTTAATAAAAGGAGTGGCATTTTTTGAGCTGAACGACTTCTAGCTTTCGAAGGAAGGCTGTAATCGTTAGCCATCTAATTTGTAGTCAACCAATTTGTAGCCAAAAAATGACATGATCAAAAAAACATTTGTTTACTCACTATTGTTGTATTCTATTTATAATAGAACACAACAATTTGATTTGTCGTCGCCGCCAACCAATTTGTAGCCATTTGTTTACTCGGCATTGTTGTGTTGGCATACCAACAAAACAATGCCGAGTAAACAAATGACGCTCAGACCTATTTTAGAAATGAAGAAAAGTGAAAGAAGACGTTATCAACTATTTGAAGTACCAAAACCAACAAGGGAAGCTTATACTAATAATGCTATTCATTCAAGTTAAAATACTCATTCAATATATTAAGATTACAAAAACTATTACGAAAACTGACTTTATGATCTATTTGCAAGGGTGGGGCTGGACGTAGAAAGTTGACTGACCAATAACAGTTGGCATCTGAACAGCGACGTAAAGAACAAAAACATCAGACCTATTTAACAGAAGAGAAAGAAACACTGAAAAACGAAGTATTAAATATCAACAGAAATTGATAGACGAAAGGAGCTCTGAAAGGAGCGCTTTGCGCTAGTTTAATAAAAGGCATGGCATTTTTTGAGCTGAGCGACTTCTAGCTTTCGAAGGAAGGCTGTAATCGATTGAGTTTGTTACTTCACATTTCTTGTGTACTTGCATTAGGAACTTCTCTAGGATGTCCTTGAACATAGAAGGGCTCGAAGTTGGCGGTCTTAATTTGCCTCTTTTGCCTATACGAGAATTGTTACATTACAACAATTTCGCATGCGGTGGTACTTAACAAACCAGTGTTTCAATCTCTGGTGCACTGTGATCATTCAGTGTTTACATAAATGTTAGAGAATACTAGTTAAACATATTTACATAATATTATAGACCGTAAAATGCTATATAAGAATCTTCAAACATCGTCAGTGTAATGACTACACATGCGATATTTCAGTGTCTCATGCGCCTATGATTTTTTCCTTTTTGCAGAACTGCTTTTCATATGAGAGACAGGAAGATGAAGATAGCGACCTCAGGTATGTGAACTACACTAATCTAAATGCCAGAGTCATGGTTATAAACAAGAAGTGCATCATCTGATTAGGCTAATGGCTCATATGTACTGAATTTCACAATTACCTAATCGAATGTTTCTACCAAATGGCAAATAAGAACAAAGTTTCTCTTGGAGACAGAACTCCAAAAAAATATAGAATTCATACTTTTGGAAGGTTAGTCATAGATGTGTCTAAGATAATGGCGTGTAGTACAAAATAGTAAGCACTTGAGATTTGCCCCTGAAAAGTAAAACCGTAGGATATTTGTTGTAAATTTATGCACAAGGTTGTCAAACAAATATATGTGTATCAGCTCTTCCCAGAACATGTCAAAAAACTAAATATATCTCACTTGGATATATAACTCTAGGAAAATTATTGTCGTTTTTATATCCCGAAATATAGACAAAAGTACTTCCTGAAAGTTATTCGACCAGTTGTGAAAGTGGTGAATACGTAAAAATATTCTGCTTTTGGAAAGTCAGCACCGAAAAACACGTAGATTCTTCCCTATTTAATAAATAAAGCACAAAGTTGCCAGCAACATTGTTGCGTCGAAGACGAAACGTGTCGCCCTCGGTAGTCTAGTGGTAGCGTGTTTGCCACTGGAACCAAGTGTTGCGGGTTCAAACCCGACCCAGGTCGATGGATTGTTAAGGGTAATGAAAATTAGCCTGACTTCCTTCAGAGGGGAAGTAAAGCCGGCGGTCCCTTGCCGTAGATTTACGAAATGTTAAAGAACCTTATGAGTATGCACGAGATGTTTTGTACGCAAAATTCCGCGCCCATTTCTTTCCAATAAGTCCCCACTAAATGTCTAAAACTAGATTCGAAAACTCCGAAAGGAAGCCCTTATGCTCCATATAGGAGAGAAATTGGTATAAGAAGAAGTATAAACGTTTCCTTTGTGAACCACTATCCCTATTTTCGATAACATGCATTTATAACATACTCGATGCTTTAAAATTTTCTTTCAGTACATTCAATAATGCTCATGTGTAAAATACTTGACGTTTTTAATTCTATATCAATATCTTATAACTGTTGCTGGTTTAACGACGTTGTAATATGTAATTAATTCTGTTATTTCTTTCTTAAATGGTGTATTGTTTCATAATATAAGGCATGCAATATTACAAAGTAAATGCCTTTTCATGGAATAACGAAATAATCAGTCCATACAAGATACGTAACAGTTTTAGATTTGTAAATGTAAGCATAAATAAGAAATTATACTGGATATGTTTTTTATTCCCTGTTAAATTTCATAGAGTATCGATGCTATTGTAATATTAGAAATTAATGGGATAAAACTTGTTTTAATGCAGGGCTCTGTTAACAGAAGCTTCTGTCTCAGAAACTTCGATGGACATTGAGCTAGAAAAGACTACCTACGGGTACAATGGAAACGACCTGTGCAGTTTCTGCTCGCTATTTAAACAGCGTATAAAAGAGTTAACCGCCAATCTGGCCGTGGTATCAGCCGAGAGGGATGTCTTGTTAAAACGACTAAATCCCTTGAACAAATCCATAGACTGGCTGTCAACTGAAAATGAGGCACAGAAGCGTGAGATTGAAAGACTTCGTGACTCTGAAGAGATAGCGGATGCATTAAGAACTGAATATGCAGCAATAAAATGTGTATTAAATAAATTGAGTATAGGAAATGACAGAGTGGAAATCAGCTTCCGCGATAAATCGCATGTCAGTGCAGAACAATTGCTTGCGATGTGTAGTGAAATGGCTAAGTTATCAGCAGAGAGGGACTCCTTGAAGACAAGTTATGAAGTAATTGCTGAAGAAAATGGTAGCCTGAAGCAACAGCCGTTGGAGATTCTCGAAGCAGATGGTGTGGAGAGCCGAGTAACCGTTTTGAGCAAAACCGTAGAATCGCTGTTATCTGAGAACGAGGACTTAAAACAGGAAGTTAAAAGGTATTCTATCAGAGAAGTTGAAGCTGATATATTAAGAATTGAGTGCAATTCAATAAGAGTTAAAATGGATGAATTGATAACTGAACGTAACAGAATACAAGCTGAATTATGTGAGGATTTAACTATTGAAGAAACTTTACTTGGGATGCGCAAGCAGATAGAAATCTTGTCAACAGAAAGGGACATCTTCAAGACAAGGTGTGCACAAGTTACTGACGTGGATAGTTGTATAGCTAGACAGCAGGCGCAGGACCTTCGTGGTGCAGGAGAGGAAACGATTATGGCCGTAGAGCGGCTGAAGGAACCCGTGCTCTCGCAGTCAACGGAGTTTGAGGAGACACAGGTAAGCTATTTCCTTCTATCCTCTAGAGCAGTGGTATTCAACCTGGAGTACGCGTACTCCCGGGGGTATGCGAAAACATCTTAGGGGGTACGTGAAATTTTAAAAAAAAATACATTATTTTATGATAAACACTGAATAATCAGTAATATAATATATTTTAGATGTAGATTATATACTATGTATAACTTGAATTATACACTAACAACTTGGGGCGTATAAAGTTGGAAGAGAAATTATATCTGGGGCTACGCGAACAAAAAATGGTTGAATACCACTGCTCTAAAAGTCTTCTCTCTTAGGCCTAATTATTCTCCTCAACACCCTGTTCTCAAACAACTGCAATCTGTGTTCTTCCCTCTGAGTGAGAGACCATGTTTCGCACCCATACAAAACAGGCAAAATTATTGTTTTGTATACTTTAATTTTCAGGTTCTTAGAAATCAGACGTGAAGACAAAATATTTTGAACTGAGAAGTAGCAAGCATTTCCGGAATTTAGTCTCCTCCTAACTTCCTCATGAGTATCATTTTGATTTGTTATTGTTGCTCCCAAATATTTGAACTTTGTAACACTTTCAAAGGATTTATTAGCCAGCCTAAGATAATTCTGCCCGCCTGTCTGCTGACGACGAGATACTAACATGTCTAATGTCACCAGTCTCATGAACATTTAAGAGCTGACTAAAGAAATTTTTCCTCCTATTCACAATTATTATTTGATCTGAAAGCAAATTGCCATTATCATCCTTTACCCAATTGGTCTGAGGTTGATATCCTTTCTTAAAGTTATTAATGCCTCTGCACAGGTCTCTGATATCCTTTTCCTTATTATTTGTCTGAAGTTCAGAAATTTTGCCCTTCAGGTATTCCCTTTTCTTATTCTTAAAGATTCTGCTAGCTTTACGTCTCACGTTACATAGAATATCCGCATTTGTTTTGTTTGGGTCCTGCAACCATTGAAATTTTGTTTCCTTCCTTCGATCTATTCATTTTGAACATTCTTCATCAAACCACAGTTTATTTTTCTTTCTCCTGTAGTATCCTAGTTTCTCTTTGGCTGAAATTTTGATGCAGTTTCTGACATTCTCCCAATCCCTGCTGATGTCCACACTTTCATTATCTTCATTTGTCTCTAAAATTTGAAACCTATTCGAAATTTCAAGTTGATATTGTTCCTTCGCCATTGGGATCGTGCCCTCCCCGTCCCATCGCACTTCCTGTACTGCCACTAAGTCTAACTTATAATTCTCTAATTCCCTACTCACTGATTTTAGTGCCCCAGCCTTACAGAGACTCCTAATGTTCTAAGTATCAAATCTCATATCCTTTTTCAATTGCCATGATCGTGCCAAAGAGTCCGTCCTGGTTCAAGGCTTAGTTAATTTTTTTGTAACAATGCTTTTTTACGGTGAAAGGTTGTTAGCCTTACGCCCAACTAGCAAACTGGAGGACCAGGGTATCACTCTTAGTCTAGAGCATTGCCTTAGACCTGTCCGTAAGATTTAGCTGTGGAAGCCCCGGCCGGTATAGCCCTGAGGGTCATTTTAGCACGCAAGCCTCCTCACCCGGCAAATTGCCTTCGACAAGGTAGCTTCTTTTGTGATATCAAATTATTTAATATGTTTTAATATGGCAATTTGTTGCGACTGGTCTTAATGTTTTGTAGATACAACATGAGAAGCGTATCGTCGATGATAGTCAGAACTTGGTTACAAAGAAGAACGTTTTGCGACTTCATGAACAGCAGATTTCCGATTATAAACAGAAGCAGTTGGAACAAAACGACATAATTAAACAAATGCAGTACGAAAATGAGGTTATGCAGGAAAGTATAAGAAATTTGCAAGAAGAGATTACTCAGATTAGTCAGAGAGAGAGGGAGCTAGAAGAAACTATTAAGTACACTGACAGTCAAAATAAGTGGCACTTGCAACGTATCAGAAGCTTGGAACGGGTTATTAGTGACTATAAACAGGCGGATGTGGAACAGAATGACCTTATAACACGTATGGAGAAAAAAAATAAAAATATGTTTGAATATATAAGAAGGCTGGAGTATGATGCTATTGAAGCTAAGGAAAATGTTCTGGAGCAGGAGAACGCTATGAAAGACATGCAGAACGAAAATAAAGAGCTATCAGATTGCATAAAATCTCTGAAGCATGATAATAATTATTACAAAGCTAAACAGCAGGTGGTGGAGGAAGCTGAGATGATTACAGACATGGAAAACGAAAATGGGAAGCTCATGGATTATGTAAAGAAGTTGAAGTGCGACATTAATCATGCCAAGGAGAGAGATCTGGAGAAAGATAATATTGTTAGAGACATGGGAAACCAAATTAAAGAACTGACAGATAGTATCACAGCCATAGAAGAAGATCGTACTGATACGGATTCGAAACCGTCTCCTCATCAGAAAGCTTACAGAATTAGATGATGTGTCATTTTGTAGCAAAACAAATCACGTTTTACCTCAAACAGTCATTTTGGTTCGATGTGATTGCCATTGGTGATACTGCAGACATCCCACCTGAAATCAATTTCTTGCCAAACACGATCCAGCATATCCGGTGTCACTTCTGCAA